AAAATGCAATCACTCAACCATCGTGTTAAGGTCTTGCACTGCCCACTCAAGCAGTATAACAATTTAAAGTTAAATAAATTATGCTTCAACTGACACATTAATAATTCATCTATGTTAAGAGACGCCCGAGATATGGTCACTCAAAATTGACCTAAAAAAATCAGGTTTGGCAAAATTGTGCGAAATCAAAGCCTGATTTCATAAGGTCAATTTTGAGTGACCGTATCTCTGATGTCTTTTAACATAATATTAATGTGTCAGATGATATAAATTCATTTAATTTTAAATTAGTATGCTGCATGAGTGGGTAGTGCAGGGTTATAGCACGATGATTGGGTGATTGCATTTTCAAGTTTCTTTTGGACGCCACTGTATAAATCACAAAACGTGATTTTTCTTAACTCTTATAGCACTATAGCCGTTTTAAAATCGCTCCTCAATCAACTAGACAAATAAGGTTAAAACAACCCACAGAAAAACATCAAAAGACAAGTTGTGGAAACTCGAAATATCGCAAATCGAGGTTGACAAAATCTTAATAATACTAATCTATGGTATTTATATAGCGCTCAACCCTGATGAAAGTACACGGGCTCTGGGCGCTTTATATTACTACAAAAGCTTATTATTATAAACAGTACATGTTATTACAACGCCCCAAAAATCAACAACAAAATAAAAACCAAACAACAATATATGCTCTGAATATGTAGTTCATTAATTTCAAAATAGAAAGGAATTTAGCTTACAATAGAATAAAAATATTTGATCTCTTTTAAACTTCAACACGGGCCAAAGTATTCCAGATCTTGGGGTTGTGATATACAAATGCCCTTTCACCCATTGTTTTAAGTTTCGTAGATGATGAAATAAATTTATTTTTTTGCCAGCTGATGTTCTTATACTGTGAGCAGGAATATACAGTTTCAACAGACTTGGTAAATATGATGGCGCATTCAAGCAATTGTGACATAGAATGTCCAACTTTTACATAATTCTTTTCTCAACTGAAAGCCAGAGCAGTGTCCGTAAAATTGGTGTAGCAGAGTCTCGATTTCTTTTTGTAAAATTAAACGTTCAGCATTGTTTTGAACACATTAAAATCTTATCACTTTCTCCAAAAATGTACCCGATATCAGGGAGTTGCTTCCTTGGAGTAGAACCGTAAAAGGAAACTTGAAAGGTTTGTTAATCTAGTAGGAAGTTAATATGAGAAGAGCAGGCATGTTAAACAGAAGAAAAGGACCGCAATTAAAAATTGACCACGGTAAAATCCAGCCGCGCTTTAGTCCCACTATGTTGCCAGAGTTGTATGAATTTGCTGACGTTTGAGGCGAGTTTTTTTTTCTTCTGTCTTGTGAAGGTGATGGAAGGTTGAGCGGAAAAGGTGGGAATGGTATTTTTCCAATGATAAAGTGGATAAGGTGACATGACCATGAAGCCGGTATTAAAAATGTGTGGTATTGTGACTTTGGCATTCTTTAAATAAAATGAAAGGAAGAGCCTTGATATTGATAAATGCATTTAGCTGTTGATTGAAAAATTTTATTGGAATGAAGGTAGTTTTTGTAGTTGTTGCTTCATAATATTTGAAAATATAATACACGATTTCAACAGACAAATGGACAAAATCGTTATAATAATTTTACCTTTACTTCGTGATGATAACAAAGTGGCACGCTGATGGTTGTAGTAGCAGTACGCTACCTCAGAACTACAAACTTTTGTGTTACTATTACTGTGAGGTCAGAAACAAAATGTTCTATCTGCTCTATTCAAATCGAAAGATTATTCGGAGTCACTATCAAGATATTTAAAGAATTGCATTCGAAAAAGCTTGGTCCACTGTGTTGATTGTATCTGTTATTTGATCTTTCAAGTCGTTGATATTTGCTGGAAATCGTGAAACATAAACTTTGTCTTTAACATACCCCCACAAGAACTGGCTATTCCCTTTAGTGCGCACAGATGAGAATGACTTAATTTTTCAACAAGAAGCAGCACCGCTCCATTGGCATCTCGGGTTCAAGCTTACCTGAATGAAAACGTGTTCTAGCAGTGAATTAGTAGGAGAGGTGCTAAAGACCTCGCTCTCTGCACTTGGCCCGCCAGATCATTGGACCTCATTGTGTGTGACTCTTTCTTGTGGGGGTATGTTAAAGACGAAGCTTATGTTCCACGCTTTCAGCAACTATCGATGATATGAAAGATCAAATAACAGCTACAATCAACATGTTGGACCAATATAATATCCTGATGCGCGTTTGGGAGGAATTCTCTTAATATATTGGTTTGATGTTGTCTGTGTTGCTGTTGGTGGCCACATTCGGTACTTGTAAAACAAATAACAATTTGAAGGTATGTACAACTCAAGAATCCAAGCTATAGTTTCTTATTGTTTTTCATTTTTGAAATATTGCATTATGATTTCGGAGTTTTCTTTTTTAATTCCCCTGATAATTCATGGCTGGAATGAGGTCCATTAGCGACATAACAGTTTCAGGACAAAGTACACACACAAAAAAAAAATTCACACTTGTATGCTCAGGTTATCAGTTGAGTGCTTAAGTGGAATTTTTTAAAATGAAAACTTAAGAGATTGCAATGTCATATTTACTTGGCAAATTTGATTTGATTTTGTTTTGTTTGTTTTTGTAAAGTGTTTTACGGCGCTCGCACTGCATAAGGTCATATGAGTGCGGGGGACACACCTAATATTTTTCAGTTGGTAGGAAATTTTGAATTTTGCCCGGGTGGCGGCCGAAGCCTACTCTTATCGATTTTAAACCACCAATGGATCTTTAACGTGCGCAACTTGCACACGGGCCCTCTGAGGTTTTTGCCCTTGTCCGAGAAGGCTAGGTGTAGAACTTTCTTACCAGAAGATCAGGGGTGTGGCAGAAAGACAGCA